GGGGTGCCTCTTCTGATTTACACTGCAAAGAGTCCATGATGCCAAAGAGTCTCTGGGAGAAATCCTCTGCTCCTTCTTATTATTTCTGTGAAGAAGTGGGGGGGAAACTGCACCCAGGGTAGAATGTGGATTTTTCCAAAGTTGGATAATCTGCCCCCCCCCCCACATGTTCCAGGACCCTAAAATCTGCAGAGATAACACGTGGAAGCATCACAGAAAACACAGGGGAGGATACAAAAAAATGCATCTATGGATCAATACACAATGAAATATCTCATACAGTGGATATTTAATGCAAGTATAAGTTTATTTTTTGCAACATGCATGAAATTATTTGGGGTTTCAGGCTGTGTGAAATACTTTGCTTGTGCCGTTTGTATTTTTCAAGCCTGTGAAGCCCTGTGCTGACCACGACGAATGGAATTCTTGTTTAATCATTATGTTGCTGCAAGGACAGGACAGAAGGACAGATTGGGTATTCTAGTCTCAGTTTAAGGACTTTAAAAAAACATCTTTTAACAAAAATAAATTTTAATTCAAGTAGAAATTTCTTCTGCTTTTATCACAAGAAAATGGTTAAAAAGGAACAACCTTTTTCATTTATCAGTCCTTTGTGACATTCTGCAGCTCTCGAGTTTTCTCACACAAAATTTCACTTTAAAAAGGCAAATTCCTGCTTTTTATTTTCTGTCTGAATTCGGGGAATCACCCACAATTCTGCACAGATTGTTTTTTTAATATGCAGTGAGAGACACACGCACACAGTGTCAGTCAGCTCCAGACCTAATAGTGAAGGATGCGAGATGAATTCAAATGAAGGTGAGGCATTAGGAATCTGTGAGTGCTGAGACCACCCTTCAACCAGAGGACTCAGGTTCAAGCGCCTGCGTCAGCAAGAAGGTGGCGAGCGTGCAGCCCGAGCGTCCTTGAGCCAAACACTCGAAAACCCACGGTGTCTTGTTATTGGGGCTGTGCTCAGCAGTTGACCCCTGTGCTCTAATCTCCACAAACAAGGAGCGAAGATCCCAGAAAAATCGATGCCGCCGATTTTCATCGTAATTGAAATGAAAACTGCTCACACGCCTTCTTTGTATTTGTAGTCACAGACCTTCATGTCAGGAACATGTGATTTACAGGCTGGTTTCCTTCAGCAAATTATTCACAATTGATTATTATACTTAAGTAACTCCATTCAACTGCCTTCATAAAGTGTCTCAGGATGTAATTAAGTTTATTTCGCAGCAATATGTGTTGTGCATTCTGGCCCACGGGCGTCTGTGCGTTCACAATGATCGAGGAGAATATGGATCTGAGGAGGCACGTGATTGGTTACTGAGCTCTGTGGCACTGGTAATCCTGTTGTGAGACTGGCAAATGGGATTAAGACAGTGTGTAAGAGAAACAGAACCTGGGGGATGACTGCAAGGCTTTACATTCACGGCTTTATCTCACTTTTTCACTTCATTTAGCCTCATCACTTTGACGCTGGCCAACAATGAGTCTATGTTTCCCCAGAGGATCCCCAACATGGACTTTGACCGTTTAGAAAGCCTGATGTTCTTCCACTGAATCAGCCAAGTGATGATTTTTTTATTTTTTGGTGCTGATAAATGGTTTCACATGATTGGAAAACACACCAATGTTTTTTTTCCTCCTTCTCTGCAGGGGTGAAAACCCACTGAAGCACTTAGTCCATTTTGCACCATAACATTACCAGTGCTTTAAGGCAGTGTGACCCTCCGCAGCTTCTCCACAGAGGAGTGAAACTGCCTTTAAATGAAGAATTATAGACATGTTTGACATTTGGTAGTAAAAGCACATTGCCTGTGTATTCTCACATCTGTGCCAACTTGAGTTTGACCTCCATCTTTACATTTCTTCCATGTATTTGGGTGCAGAGTCACTCGGCACACTCGGAAACATCAGTCCTGGTTTGAACTTCTGTACAGTAGAATGCACAACTCCCACCGGGTGAGATAATTCATCACAGCAAACAGGAGGCCTTCGTGTGTGTTTCTTCTTCTTTTGCTGTCACTTTGTTGTGCTGGAGCTTTACGCTAACACTCCGCTCACTGTCAATCACCTGACACTGACGGGAAGAAGAAAAGGCGACGTGGTGTCATGAAACGCTCCCGTCACATCCGTCTCTTTGTTTTCCCCGTGGAGCAGCTAATTTCCAGCCAGATATGACGCTGCACGTTTTTAATTTGTGAAATGATAAACCATTAAAATGCATTGAGAGAATGGACTTCTCTGCAGCAGGAACTGCCCAGTAATCAACTCCACAATAAATCAGCGAGAACTCATTCGATAAAAAGCCGACATCTGCCTTACTGAGCACACGACTGCACCCACGTCGACGTCAGTGTGATCTGAGCTGTCTCTGTGCTCGTAGTGTTCAGGCCTCACAGAGAAATGAGAAGCATTAACTCGGCCGCTTGTCTCAAACTGACCCTGAGTCCCCTGATGGGATCTCCTCTACCCACAATGCCACTGCTGCAACCTGCCTTCACAACTCGTGCTGCCCTGGAGCCACATCTGCTCCACTTTCCACCTCTACCATTAAATCGTCATGCAGAGGCTATGTGACTTTGAGTCTGTGTGTACATGTGTGTGTGCACCTTCATGTGTTGCAGCAGCAAGCAGTTAATTTAATCATGGATTCATCTAAATATTATCTTGAAAATGTCCCAAAAATTTCCATTCCAGCTTCTCGGGGGCTGGATTTACATCTCTAAACATCAGAATACCTCAAAATGTTTACTTCACAATGAGATATGACAAAGACAAAGCAGGAAATCTGTTTTTGATTGTGAAAATGGTTGCAGGCTATTTTTCTGTCAATCGACTAATTGATTAATTGACAAATCATTAATGCTAGAAGCAGAATCCGATCAGGATGTGAACAGCTTCATGGCCTCTTGGAAAAAATTGTGTTTTCTTTTCACGCCTTGACTGGAAATTAAAAAAAGATGCTTTCATTAAGGTTGTGAATATCGTAGCTGCAGATTATTTTCTCTAAATAAATTCTCACATGAGCAGGATGCTCACTTACATGTCTGCAGAGGTGGCAATCATGCTGGTGTTATTCATTTCCGTGTTAATTATCAGCACATGGCTTAAGGACTTTGCCTCGGAGAAGTGCGGCAGAATCACTTTTCGCAGGATGTGTGCGGATGTTTTAATGTTTGGCGGGAGGGTGGGTGGGTGTAATGGAGGGGCTGCAACAACGAGAAACTGGAGAATCTGTGTGGGAAGAAGCAGGTCAATGCATGCCAAAGCAATTACCTTCCTCGTCAAGGACCCTGCCAATACTCTGCGATGAGGGGGAGAGAAAGAGAGGTCGGCGAGGAAATAAATATACGAGCGGTCAAGCTCTCAGTTGTCTGCTTCCAGAAGACCTCCTGAAGTTTACATGGCATTTCTGAGTCAGTATCGTCCCAAGGTAGCGCATAAATTTGCAAGCGTACTCTGCTGCGCCGCATCTTCACCGGGTTCATGTGCGTTTTTAAAATCCTCCTCCAAGATATGTTGCTTATTTGAGGGAGTTTGTGGAAATTGTTAATCAAATTATACAGATAATACCAGAAATGTTATGAAGCTCGTGAGATTGTTGAACCACCGAAGACTGGCAGGATGTGTTGTGACATGACGAACATTATCTGTCAGGAGCTGATACTTTTCTCTGGGTTTGACAAGTCTTCATGTTCTGGCATCTCTGGGGGAACTGTCACAGCACGACGACGGAGGGGAGACAGATCCCCCCGCACGTGTTTTCGGGCCGGCGAACAAACTGCTCGGAGTAGAGGTCAGGAGCGCTCTGGCCATCATGCTGCTGACAGCTCAGATTTATTTTTAATCTAGGTGATGAGAAGTCGCCACACAAATCGCGTGGCTTGTTAGTGTTGAGTGGCGCGCCCTGCCACCATTACACCCTGATCTTATACAAAGAAAATGTGATAAACTAATGACCTTGGTGAAGCAAAGCCCAGATAATTGGGAACCAGCTGAATGGCGTTGGATTGTTATTCCGTGCAGCCACGTTTGTTCCATTCGCTGTGAAATCTCTTTGCTTATGCGCATTTGAAAAGCCGGGTCATTTTCCCTCCATCTTCCCCTTATTAACATTTAGACCCTCACAGATTCTTCTTCTGGTGTGTGTGTGTGTGTGTGTGTGTGTGGGCGGGCGGGCGGGCGGGCGAGAGTGTGTTCGTGAAGGACGCCATGTTGATTGTATTTATTGTCTTTTCATTTTTGAACAATTTCCATATGATTGGGGCAAAAGCATCATTATGTCTGCAGGCGCATCACTTGATGTGTAAAGTGACAGCGGTCACACAGTAAATTTTGCTGACGGTACTTTCTCTCCTCTCTCCTCTCTGTCTTTGTCTCTCCCTCCCTCCCTCCCTCCCTCCCTCCCTCTTTCTATCTCTCTCTCTGTTCTGATAGGTGCCAATTATACAGCCTTTGGGTTGAAGCCTCCCTGCTCGCCATTGACCCTGTTAGCCAGCTTTAATGTCAACTCCTTGGCTCCAAAGTGGAGGGAATTACCCCACTTTTAGTCTCCAATGAGGAAAAAAGAGGAGCAACACAGCAAAATGCAGAGCTTGACTCTTTTTCAACCCATGTGCTCTTTCCAGTGTCTGACTTCTCCTGCTTTCTGGTGAAACACAGGGTCAGGACTGTGTGGATAAAACCCTGAGGGTTTTGACATTTCAGCTTTTCTGCCCTTTTTTGTTGTTGTTTTTTTTTTTTTTTCATCTCTTGCTCCTCTTCTGGCCTCAGTGCTTTTTGGAGGCGGCCCAGATGATGGGGTGGTGTAGCTCAGGCATATGCAGAGCCCTGGCTCTCCTGGCACTCCTGCTCCCCTTGCGGCACATGGGCTGCTGGGGGCTGAATCCCAGCTCTGGGGACCTGGAGAAGTCCCCACGCTCTGATCCAGACCCCTGGGAGGTCCTGCACAGGCACAAACGCAGCTGGGTGTGGAACCAGTTCTTCGTATTGGAGGAGTTCACAGGGAATGAACCACTCTACGTTGGCAAGGTAAGTGATCTGTGCAGCTGTTAATAGGTCAGCATTGTTACTTACACAAGAGAGCGCATTTACTTTACTCAAACTATCCCTCGTGATAAACTGATCCCTATTTTTGCAGGTTTTCTGCACCTGTACACTACACATATCAATAACCTGGCACCATAATGACCTGCGGAATCTGGGACAGCAGAGTTTTACAGAGTATACATTCCCAGTGCCCTATATAATGTTAAACAAATGAAAAGACAAAACGCAGACAGTGTGGGAAGCTTTTCTGTCTTTTCATTCCAGCCAGACTGAAGTATGGGCTCGCACAGATGTGCAGTTTTACTTTAGAGGCCTGTGCGTGACATGACAAGGTAATTTGCATCCTAATCAGTATCCATGCAGGAGGGGTATATACATTACTCCACTGTGTCTTTGTACAGTAGGTGTTCTGCCAAGGTGCAATCAGATCAAGCTAAGTAAAGTGTGTTTTGGCAGGTGTGTAAGTGTGCAACCCCTCCCAATGACATTTAAAGCAAGAGGCACAAATGGCATAGTTAACATGAGGGGACACTGACAGAGTGTCTAATCGTGCATTAATGAGAGATGGTAACACTGCTGCTCTATTGTATATATATCACATCGCCTCAGGTAAAGACCAATGGTGAAAGAAGTATGTAGATACTTTTATTAAGTTGAATATAATGTAATGATAATAAACAGTCGACCTGCCCAGGCTGTTCCCGCTGCCTATCGCCCAATGTCAGCTGGCATCTGCTCCAGTTCCTCGATGACCCTCAAAGGATAAGTGGTGTGGATGGAATGATGGATGGACGATAGTATGAAAGTAGAAACAACAATGTCAAAATAAAAACAAAACGTTTTTCTAAAGATAACTGCATCAAAAATGTAAATAAGTCTTAGAAATTAATGCAATAAAGCATAAAAACAATCACACAAGTGTTACTGAAAAACACATTTGAGGGAATAATTTTGCAAAGTAAGTCAAGTTATTACATAAAGTTCTACACAAAGGGAATTCAGAGTGTTTTAATAACGCAATTAAACATTAATCACATAATACTCAACCACTTTAAAGACACCGGGGCAGTTTAACCTACAGCACCGCCTCATATTTTAAATTTTATAAGCTGATGATATGATTTGCATGTTAATAAATTAGCACACAAAAATAAACACAAGCAACTGTAGCTGTCAAAATCTCATTGTGTTCCTTTGAAATGTAGTCACAAACGTATAAAAGTAAAATGCAGAAATGAGTAATGAAATAATGTTCTAAAAGTAGAAGTAGAGCACAAGTATAAAGGAAATACTCAAATGAAATACAGAGACCTCAAGCATCACAACATGTACTGAGTAACATCCCATTAGAAATAACTAGTAACCACGGCTGTCAATTGAATGTAGTTTAAAAAGTAAATTGTATGTTTTTTTCTTTCTGAATGAAAGTCAAGTAAAAGAAGTACTTCAAAATGTACTTCAATACCTGCCCTGAATAAATGTACTTCATTATATCCTATAACTGGATGTAACCAGGAACCACCAATGGCAAATATATGTAGTCTAGTCTGTAAAAAGTACAATTTTACCTCACAAAAGAAGTGGGTACGAAATACCATAAAATAACGAAAAATAAAGAAACAAGTTCCATATAACCTTAATAATTATACTTGTTGCATTCCAGTACTGGAGAAAGCAGGAAACTACAGATTAAAAATATATTTGCAGTTCAATAAAAAGTAGATTTGCAGAAGTATAAAGACTAGAGTATAATCCAGGAACCTCAGTAACTGAAAAATCTGCTGTAGAATAAATCTAATCATACCCTCACATTAAAGTCGCCTGTTGTAAAAGCGTCGGTTTACATCGCAGGGTTTGGTGTGCACGAACATTTCAGCACCACAGTGAGTGGACAGCTCCTTCCGGAGCGTGTGTGGTCCAGATGGGCCTCGGATCTCGTTCTCTAGTTCCACGTTATCTCGGAGACTTTTCTGGTCTTATTATTAAATTACTTTTCGCCTTTTCACTCATCTGCTGGATAATCATTCTCATCTGCATGTATTTGCCGGGTTTGCTCTCACAAGCCCATTTCCTTGCTGTCTCTGAACTGGATTATCGTCTCCAGCTGGAATTAGGATACATTTGACTGTCCCATTGTTCTCCTCTCTATTTTTGCCAGAGGGATGCTGGAGGAAAGCATCTAATTCAGAACGAGCGTGTTTGTGACACTGCTGGAGTTCGGCGAAAGGTCATTTGTCGTACGAGTGTCCGTGGCATCTGAAAATGCTTTCGGACGTCTCTTTTATCTGAGTGGCTCGTGCAGAGCGTCTTTTGTTGTTTTTGCCTTGTTAACATCTGCACTGTGTTTTCTGATTGAAATGTTTTGTCCTGTGTTGCACATTTGAAAGTTAAAGACGAGAGGCCGCTACAGTGAAATCTTGAGTGCTTCTTTTATTTTACACATGCTTGTGTCTGATTGGTTTTCTTGTTAGAAAATCCCACCGGATGTGAAGAGGCTGATTACTTATTCATAGATGTGTAGAGATCTGCTTATCCTCAGGGAATATACAAAAACTCATTTGCTAGCCCCTTTTGTACAGGGAAGTGGGGCCACTTCTGAAGTGAGGCCACTTCCCTGAACATGAACATCATGGTATATAGATCTTTTATTGGTATTTTAGGCTTTACTGTGTTAGTAGAAGCAGTTTCAGGACAGACAAAGCAGCAGCTGTGTAAAAACTCAGACATGGCTACATCTTTACATCTGACCTCCTGCACTAGCTGAGTCCAACCCTTTCAGAAGTCTAAAACATCAGATTCATTTACTCCCCGCGGGCAGAGCAGGCTGCCTGGGAGCTTGAGAAGCTGTCACGTTATTTGTTCCCTTAGATCATAGTTGTCACACATTGTGTGTGTTAGTTTGGTGTCACGAGGCCACGCTGCCGCTGTAAAAAAGTCTGGGCGGGACTCCCTGACCTCACGATTCAGTGTGAGCGACACTGAAGGTCCCACCATGTCAGGACAATGACCTTACGAGAAATGAATTCTTTACATAGCTTCAGAAAAACAAAAAAAACACATCTGGCTTTTCGTGCTCGGCTCTCAATTTTCAGGTTATCGGCAAATCCGCAGTGACATGACCAGTAATTTTATTTTGTCGGATATATCCAGGTAACCAATATGACAAACAATAGGAATCTGTGTCCAAACAAAACAAAAAAGCGGCTGCACAATTTGGTCATTTGTTTGGCTGCAAGCAAAGAGAAATATGATACAGTCAGTGGGAAATGGGAAGTCATCACTTTGGCCCGGCTGCTCCTTTTGCATCTGCAGTCTGCTTGGCTTTAATGCATTCTGTCAGATTCTGAATTTCACAACCAAATGTCTCATTATGCTTTGGAACTCTGCCTCGGGTAAGTGAACTGGCCTGGAATCAGCTGAAGTCACAAGCCTGCTGGTGGAAATGTGCATTTCAGAACCATCCGCAGATCGGTGACGTGCAAACATAAAGGAGGAAACGCTGGAGCCACTCGAGGACTTAATAGACGTAAAGTGTTTACGGTTTCCGCAGGGTGTTCATGTGACTAAATATCAAGAGGTGTTGAAACAGAGTGATCTGTAGTGGAATATTAGCAGGTGTGCTAATTTGTACCGCAAAGAGGTGCTAAATCATTGTTCAGATCTTTTGCTTCGTTAACGCAACAGCTCTCCTCGCTTTATACTTTGGAATATTCATTTTTCCTCTTCTCTCCAGTATCTTTTGTGAAGCTGCAGCTACATGTTATCAGGCCCATTTTTTGTAAATAGATCTGTTTATTTTCAAGTGACGGTAGAAATTCACAGCCTCAGAGGCCGAGTGCTGCTCCACATCACGGGAGGCACGAGCCCACAGACACGGCCCTTATGCTGGATCTCTCTTATTTATAGAGATGTCATCAAAATTGGCAATCTGACTAACCATCCGGGTAATGGATTGACTTATGTCACCTTATAATTCAGGCTGCTTTCAGGGGCTATTAGCCCAGGCTCTCCTGCCACACTCACAAAGGGATTTCTTCCAGTGTGAATACAAGAACCTCGATGAGGAGCGAGGGAATGGAAAACAACTCTCGACAGAAGAATCTCTTATAGCTTTCTGTCGAATCTTCAAGTGTGACTGAGACAGAGCAGGTCTGTGTTTGATCATATTTATTGCAGCACCCATGAGACGTTTTTGTGCAATTATGAGTCATTCCTGACCTGGCAGCGAGAACCTGGATTTGTGCTTGACAGTAATTTAGTTTAATAATAAAACAATCGTGGGCATCAGGGATAGTCCCACGTATAATTACAATGGAGCAAACGTAACGCGGGCCCTTTCATTTGCATTCTATTAGATGTTCACTGTCAAATTAGTTAGAATCATGGAGCGGGGGGCGTTGCTCTAAAGGTCAGTCTCAATAGCATCTGCTCACACTAGCTGGTGCCACAAACACGTCGCACGCGCAGCTGGGGAGTGGTGAGAGCAGCACGCTGAGCCGGAGAGGAGGGTTATTCGAGCTGAAGGGAGGGGGGGACATCATACACACGGTACCCAGAGACGAGAGCTCACAGAGGGGAGAGCTCGTGAGGCATCCTTGGGGCCTCTGGGATGGTGAGAAAGCCTTTATTTGAGCCAGGGAATCAAAGGGGACGAAGACAGCAGCACAAAGAGGACCAGAGGGGAGTTATCAGCAGTGTAGAGGAGAGGACAGAATATTGTTTACACTTGCACTGTATCTGGCTCACGTAGAGGACCAGGGCCGGTGTCCACGTTGGCAGGGCAGTGCTTAGATAAAGTCTGGAACGCTGCAGGGTTAAGTCCAGGGAGGAGGTCGGGGGCGAAGTCAAGACTGTGGCGTAAACTGAGGCTGATTCAAAGAAAAGACATGAACACTGTTTCCTTGATCCTGTAAATATGAAGGGTTTCAACCACTGACTGTAAATGAAAAATAAATAAAGCGTCTAAACTTCGTCCCACTGTA